GGCGCCGAGCCGACAAAGTTAAGTTTTAATGATGAAGTAACTGACTAGAAAGTATAGAAATCTGTGTTTTCCTGAGAAAAACAGCTACTGTAGTATCATTTGAACAATCTGGTTGACTTTACTTACTAGGAAGCCTGCAATTCATTATTTTTTGCCTTTTATGTGCCACTGTGGTTACTTCAAATCACTCTGAGAGGTAAAGAGATACAGGATTGAAGTAATTTGGGCATTTTGGGTGTGTATGTATGTCAAGTAAATATACAGATATCCACATACACAAAGAGTAAGAGACAAATTGTTCTTGCTTGCTTCATTATCATACTACTATGGTTATTATAAAGCATCTATTAAGGTGAATCTATTTTCTTATGTCCTTGAATTTATAGCATAAACTTGTGTATATGTTATTGGATGGCTTATCTTTTAAAGTATTCACTACTATACTGTGAAATTTTTAAATGCCTTTAGATTTGTTTTTTGGTCACTTTTCTCCATTTAATTTCTAATTACAGTTTATGTCCTTAAAAAAATGCCACAGCAGTATAAAAATCCCAAATAAGTAGGACCAAAGGAAGTTACTATTGAAAATAATTTTTAAGTGTATCAGTGCTGCCAGTGCTGTAAGTTGATTTTAATGAGACAATTATAATATCAGAGTTGAGATGGGGCAGTGTTAAAACAAGCATTCAAGTATTTTTGCAAAATTGACAAATTCTGAAAATGAAACCACAGGCTAGACTTGCATTTCAGGTATTAAAGCTGCTTTCTTAACTATCAAGAATCACAAAATAATGAATCATATTATGAGTGGTATAGGTAGGGTGGGGTCAACCCATCAGTGATCCAATGAGAACAGTTTTTAAGAGCAGATTTTAGTTTCACTAATGTTTTACCACCACTGATTTGTCCACAACAAATTCAGTTGGAGTTTAATAACTGAGCTTTAATTAATTATATAATGTTTAAGTAATTAAATGTTAAATGGCAACACCACAGAATATTTGTGTTCTCTGGACCTATTGCAACCACTTAAAATTATCTTAAGTATGTATACATAGAAACAACCACTATGAGAATAAACCATCGTTAGTGGTTTGTCACTTACTGTACAGTACCCTCATAGTAATAGTTTAAATAAATTCATTTCTTAAAAATATAGTTTGAACTTATAACAAATTAACACTTTTTCTGGCAAACTTTAATATCTCAGGCAGCATAATCCACTGTCTGAAATTAAATTTGTTTTCAAAGACAATGATGCCTCATTAAATGCCAAGGAAATTCTTAAGGTTGGAATTAACATAATTAGAGTCTTGACTCACTTCATTAAAACAAGATCCACTTCCTCTGTCATTTGAGTGCTCATCATATGCCAGGGACTGACCTGTTGCAATTTCATGGCCTAGAATTAATATTATTTTTTAACTAGCTATCATAGAGTGTACACAGTGCTATAGAGCATATAGGGAAAGAACCAATTAAATCTGCAGGAAGGGTAAAAGAAATCTACATGCAGGATGCTATGGAGCATTAAGCTGAGAAACAGTGTAAGGTGATCTTATCGCACTGATATGTTTAACTACCTATAGGAGTAGGGAACTGGGAGAATGGTTTTATTTGTTAAATGTTCCACAATACTAGAATTGTTGAATTTCTTAGGAGAAAAGGAGAGTTTCTGTTTGTTCTGTTGTGCTGTTTGGTTATTTGCTTAATAAGGTAGCATAAGCAGCACACCTTCCTGACTCTGGCTGTGGGAAAAACCCCCAAGACATTAATGTGTCTGCTAACTTGAGGCAGTTCACAAATTTCTCTGGGCTTCATCCATTAAGGTTTCATCTTTATGATCTATTCTTTAGATTCATCTTTATTTCTATTCTAACTCATAAAAAGATAACCGAGTACTGTCTGATAAAGCTTTTTATTATTCATTTTGTTCTTTGCATAGATGAAGGCCAAGTAAGACTAGTTTGGAGGTAAGATGAGTCAAAGCAAATGCCAAGTACTAGGCAGGTGTGAGAGGTGAAATGAAGAATGAGGCATGGACCTTGTCCTCGAAGTTTTTGGCTTACTACACATAGTTGTATCAAGACTTTCTGTGACTGACATCTGAGTAGAGCTGATGGAAGGCACAGAAAGAGAAGAGGTTCGTTTTAACCAATAAGGCCAAAATTAGAGGGACCGTGTACGAGACTTGTGAAAGATGGATGGATGTTTTCCAGGGGACAGATTTGGGGCAGGACATTCCACACATCGGGAACAGCATGACTAAGTAGGTACAAACAGCCTACAACATGGCTGTGGTCATGAGGACTGACAGTGTGAGACTGCACAGGGCATTCAGGCAAGAGCAAGTGGTTCCGGGGCTAGAGCAGAGCAGGGTGGTGAGGGAAGATGTCAGAAAGGGAAAGTGGTGGTCAGGTGGTACAGGACTGTGTAGATCAAGAACTCTGGGATGTATGAACATGGGGCAAGACTGGACAAAGAAACCTATTTAGAGATGAGCTAATGGCCTCAAATTCTCAAATCTCTATAATTGTGAGGGTGGAGAGCAAACATATCAAGGAAGAGTCAGTAGACTTTAGCAAAATCCTTTTATTAGACTCATGAATAACTCTTGGTTAGGGAAGAGTCATGTGCCTTTCTTTCCTGCCAGAAAATTGGTTCTTGCAACAAAAATTAGGTTGATGACTATGTGTATATTGGATACTCCTGATCTTTGCTCAGCTATGTTTGTTTCTTTTAAGGACAAGCAAGTAAGCATGGATTTGTTTAAAATTTAAAAATTTACAGATTATAGATGAACTTATTTTCCTCCTGTATGTTTCATATTGTTAATGTCAACTATAAAAAATGTTTTCCCCCAAGTAATATCAACTTATGACAATGGCAAAGGTCATTTGTTATAGCTGAGAAACATGTAAGACAGTTGCTAATCTTTGTTTTATATGATCTATTTACAGAGTTTACCCAACCTAGACCTATTAGCTAAACTAATTTTATATTTGGTATACATGCATGTCAAATAAAATCAATTTTACATACTGTCCTCTCTTGTCTCTGAATTTTAAATACATAAATGTAGATCACAAACATTTTTTGAGCAGAGTAGCTTTAAGAATTTCTCTTCTTCAAGCTTCCTTTACTGAACAGAATTTTAGATATTTGAAGTTAAATTTTTTTTTTTTT